AAAAAAAACTACGGCCATTTTACCAAAACCTTGCGATTTTGAGTTTTTTTAGATACTCTCAGTATTTTGCAAATATCTCAGTGAGGAAAGGGTTCTGAGAGCCTTGGAAGTGATATTCGTTTTCTAAACATATTTTTCTGTTTGTGTGACTTGATGAAAATAAAATGTCCTTGTATTTGTGTATGTGTCGGTACGCAGAGTGTGACGGATCGACACGAAACACAGACAGAAAAGAAAAAAAATGCTTCACAAACATTTTGCTTTGTAAGAAGGAAAAGATGATTATTTCTGTAACATATACTCAGCTCACACTAATGTCAAGGCTGCTTGTCCTAATCAATACCTATTCAATATCTATCAAGTGCCATGTGATCGTTACCAGTATTGTCTTCCTTTGGTGCTTCATCTGCCATAAATTCATCGTACGTTGGTGGTAATGATTTGGGCCATGGCATTGGTGACTGTGGTGGTGGTGGGAGAGTAGTTGTTGCAGGGTTCTGAGCTGAATGCATTTCAATCACTTCTGCTGACACCGGTGGTACCGTTGTTGTAGAATTCGAAGTTCTATTACGAACACGTCTACATCGTAAACAACAAGAAACTATTAAACATAAGACAACTAGTATACCAAAAATAGGTGAAACAATTTGATATATATTATTTCCGGTTGTAAATCTTGGTAGTAGCGGTACTAGTGGCCGCAGAGCTTCTAAACATGTTAAGTAAGATGACCCACATGGTTTGTCGACTATAAGTAATAAATATAACGGTAATATAAAAATGCAGAGAAAAGTAAAAATCCACTTACAAGGACAGCACCATGATGTTCCCACTATGCTATCTGAATTACAGGTAAGTCCTAAAAACGAAAGAAAGTGTGTGTGCTATCGACTGCATTTTAAAACGGTAGAACTACTGAACTATCTTGATGTATACCACTTCTCAAAGGTTATTTTTCATATTAGGACAGACATCACGCAAGTACTGGGATCAAAAAACATCAAAAAAGTTCTGTTGCAGTCGCACATATACTAGTCTATTCTACGCTTACAGAATCTATCTATATCTAAGTCTCTTCTTTCATTAGTCGTGCAGATTTCCTTCTACTAGCTTTTATGGATGAAGATATTTCGCAGATTTTTGTTCTTTTTCTACAAGGATTTTTTCTTTGAAATGGAATCAGCATTAGAATCAGCAACAGATTTTAAAAGGGATGCACTATTGCTTAAGTCTGTCCATGACAGGCGACTATGATGTTTTGACCACAAAACGGGATATATGTGGGTTTGTAGAGGAAGATTTCCGCTATCTAGTGGTGTATATATTATCAAATTCTGTTGCGTACCGTGAGAGAAAATTAAAGGTAACCCGTCTTTTTTTAGACTCTTTTATAAATTTTTTTTATTTTTGAGTTAAATGTTCTGCATTATATACAGAAACTCTAAAGTAGAAAAATAAGTTTGATGCGCAGATTCCGATGAGTTAAATAAAAAGGAATTAGGTTTGTTTTGACTATACTCGATATTTTGCCGCGAAACCTCTCTTTTAACGTGTTCTGGAATGTTCGTATTTAAAATATACAATCATACCGAAAGTACATTGTCCATTTGTTGATAATATTAGCAGTAGTAGATTGAAACATAGAAGAACAAGGATGCTGCTGCTGAGATAATGAGTCATTTTTGTTCTTGTATTTTTCAATATAATATGTTTTCCCTTAGTGTAATTTGTACTATTCTTATTACATTACTACTTTTCTTCGCTCGATTAATTACACATGTACAAAAGAAATAAACAAGAAAAAGGAAGCAGAAGAAACAAACAAACGTACGCTTCTAACCTACTCCCCATTAGCGTCTAATCGATGATGACGATGATGATGAGTAAGTCATGTCTGTGTCCAGACAAAGACGATGATTAGTTAATACCAAAAGTTTTATTAGATATAGATAATGTTAATCGTAGACAAGATGAAAGTAGTGCGATAAAGATTGACACACGTACTCTAATACATAAATATTTTAAATCAATGTTACAATCGTTGCCATCATTAACAACATATATGAGACGACCCCAATTACTACGAATTCAACGGTGTCATATTTTATGAAAAAGTTCGCTATTTCTGCGATGTAAACTCACTTCTTTGTTGCTCTATGTACGACAAATTTTGTTTTGTATCACTGGAAAATCACATTTCTGTGAGAAGAAGAAGACTGACTAAACATATTAGCATGGATGTATTGTGCTGGTTCTCCTCTTTCAAGCAATACGTGAACGAACAGATTTGGCTGGATGTTTTTTGAGAATGCGAGAAATACAAAATATCACTAAAAAGTTGAATCTTTTTAAAAAGGTTGAAAGTAAGATGCACCCAGGGCAGCCTTGCAGTGAAATTTATTTTTCGACACTTCATACACCATTCGATAGAGAATTTCGCGGTGATCACGAATATCACTTCCAAGGCTCTCAGAACCCTTTCCTCACT